GATACTGAGCTCTCTTTGGCATCTCCTGATGTCTGACCACAAGAACCACCATGAAGTCATGATTTCCCCTTAACAGGAGATGGGGGAAGCGTGCCTCCAGGGCTGCATCCCTGCCCGGCGTCCGGGAGCTCTGGCTGAACTACGGCCACGTCGAGTTACACCGGCTTCACAGCTCTGCACCAGAAAAGCAAGGGAAGGAATTCCATGCAAGCAGCAAGGTCAGAGGCATGGAGAGCAGTAGGGAGCCCTTCCTCAGGCTGCCCTGAGTTTGTTTCCCTTTTGATGGTCCAATTCGGATGGGGAAAAATACCCCGACGGACAGAGGTGCCTATGCAAAAATATCTCACGTTGGTCGTCAGCTGCGGCGCTGCCTCTGAGCATCCCCCTGCCCCTCTGGGATGACAGCCTTCCACTCCTCCAGCTTGCCGTCCGGATTTTTGCATCCCTTTTCGGCAAAGCCCAGTTCCAACCACCTACTTGGAAACCCCCCTCCTGGAAACACCACCTTTCCTTCCGCAGACCTGCCCCACCTGCAGCACCCGAGTCCTGCTGCCAAGAGTAAAAGCTCAGGGCTTTAACAGAAAACAACCTTCTCCTTTCAGAGCTGGGTCATAAACCCTGACAAAGGTAGTTAGATTACACCTGGATAAACAGGCACTAATCAAAAATATGCTCCATAAACATAAACTTTCAAAACAGAGCTCTGTACTGTTGATGAGTTTGGAGCGTGTTTATTTATCCATGGATGAACTTGCTGATTTACCCCATAAATCCTTAAATAAAGGCACCGCCTGCTTTTTTTTTTCTTCCTTCTTCTTCCCCCCCTTCTCCTTGAAGCAAAACCATCCCGAACGTGCTAGGGTGGCCTTGGCAAACGCTCCGGTGACAATCTTGTGAAGACTTATAAACCGTGAGCTGCCGGCACAGGAGACAATAAAGCTCCTGTTCCATCTCAGGTGACCTTTAACGCAAATCCATTCAGTCCCCGCGATCTCACAGCTCCCGTGCCATGTCGGCACTAAGAGGATGAAGACTCAGAGAAGCTGAATTCTTTTTGCTGCTGCCAAGTCTGTTTGCCTCCTTCCCTGCCCTTCCGTTCTTTGAAAGCAGTTGCCGTTATGACACAGTATCTCCATCTGGCAGGGTGAATAAGCAGATCCACCCAGAGCCATCAAAAAAGAAGTGAGTCAACATTAGAGATTTAAAGAAGCATTGTGAGATTTCATTTCAAGCTAAGGGGATTGCTTTTAAATAGCTCCCTTTAAAGTATTAAACCCAAGGCAGTGGCACAAATGCAGCGGAGCCTGCGGACCTCCTATTCCTATCGCCCTTCTGCAACCAGTCAGCTCCTTCTGGTCCCCAATAGTCGCTGCTGCCTACACCGACCTCCGAGGTGCAGCTCCTGTTGCTGCAGGGGAGCTGATCAGTCAGGATTTATACACATCCCAAACTTTCTCCCAATTTTTCAAAGCTTAATGGCTATTCCATCCCCATTGTCCCCCAAATGCGGGAATGTAATACCTGGTAAATACTCTGTTTTGCACGGCAGCAGGCTAGTGAGGACTACCTAATCCTGGGGTTTCCTGATATCCCCCCCAACATAAAGGCTTCCCAGCCAACCCCCACTGGTTTGTGAAATACTTGGGCTATGTATCTCATGAGTATCTCACTTTTCTGGCAGCTACGCCAAGCCCTTCTGCTGGAGGTTCCTGATTTCAAACCAAGGTCATTAGCGGTCCTGGTAATTACTGTCACTACAGCAACATCACTGTGTTATGCAAAGAAAGTTAATCTAGATTCCTAGCGCTCAATACATTAAATGATTGCAAACAACATCTGATGATGCCTGATGGGCACTTGTGCTCCCTGTTGTTAGGTTTACTCAGAGCAGGAATAAGCCTCGGCCAGATCGTGTCTGCCAACATCTCGAGACTCTCTGGTGGCTATTACAGACACAACCCCAGAGGTGTGAGTTTCTTTGGTGCCGAGTTACGTACCTGAATACACGTCCCGGTGCACTCCTTGCAGAGGCTGCAGGACAAAGCCCATCTGCTTGCTGGGATATGTGAGATCTTTGTAATGGGTTCCATTTTTTCAGGACATCCAATGCTAACCTGGTCACGAAATAGAAGACAAGTTGTAAATACTGGTTACCATCCCAAATCTCCTACAGGGCAATCTGAATTTTTTCAGAAATGACAGATTTTTTCTTTGTTATTTTTCAGGGTCACTTGTAATTTGGAAAGAAAAACCCAAACCCCCAAAACCAGAAACAAATCTGGATGAAATGGAAGGGAAAACTTCTGTCAGTGTTTCCTCTGAACTAATTCCTCATCTGGACATTGCTGTGTATCTCAGATGGGCACATGAAATCAGCTTTACCCTGCCTGGGCAGGTCCTGTGAACACCCCCCACCCCTGCACCCTTACACCCACCTCTGTGTCATCCCTTAATGGGGGGGGTGCTCCTTGGCTGCTAATTAAACACACAGCCCGACGACCGACCGGCATTGCAGCTCTGACCTCGGCACGGCTTGACGAGCCAAACTGCACTTGCCATTTACACCATTAATGAACATCCTGGGCCGAGACCCGGCAACCAGGTCCGTGCGCACCCGCGCGGTCAAGAAGAGGTTTGAAAACATCTTACTTCAGGTATCCATAAGGCACAGCTAACGTGGACCCATTTTGTCCCGCTCCTGGTGGGCTTCAGCGCTCCCCCTCTCTTCGGGCACAGTAGACACTTGGGCTGAACCCCGAGGGCGCAGGTCCGGCACAGCCAGCTCCCGATGGGGACCTTCAGGATGCCGTAGCACGCCTGCGCAGACACGAGGGAGGTGGGTTAGTCCCAGCAGCCTGGGAAGAGCATCCTCCAGGACCTCCTCCTTCACTCACAGCTTTTCCACGACCGCTGGCTTATCGCCCCCGCAGCTGGGCAGCGCAGTAATAAACAGCAGATGACAAGCAGCTCCGCAATCAGACTGGGGTTAAACTCTTCCTTCCTTGCTGCCTTCCCTATTTCCATGCCGGATCAATATGTCCTGGGTTTGAATTAAAAGCTAAGTATACAAATGTGCTGCGTATCACAGCAAGCATCCGCCTGGCTCTGGGTCGGGGTGGGGAAAGCAACCGGGCTGCTCCATCAGAGCCCCCGCCATCGGCAGCTCTGCGGTGCCGACATCTGCCCGCTCATCTCCTGCCTGTTTCTGAACAGCCACCCGACCCACGACAGCTCGAAGTAAGAAATGCTGTGCAGAGAAAACCTCTGAGGTAGCTGAGGGCTGAAAAGCCACAACCCCATGATTGAGAAAGATGACCACACTGGTTACACACCCAACACAGCCCGAAGGGGAAGTGAAAATAACTACGGAAAGGTAAAAAGGGGAAACCGATAGTCATGAATATAAATCAGAAGGGAGGAACCATAAAGGATGATAAATCTAAAGGACGGTAAATCTAAAGGAGACAAGGACAAGTCTACGGCAAAGCGAGCTAAAGGACTTGGATCGCCCACGGAGCTCCCTGACCTGCTGCGATAGCGCAGGATGCAGAGCAGCCAAAGTGTTCCATAAATATTTCTCTTCCGTACTTGGGGAAGAGCCAAATGATAAGCCGTATCACATAATGACGATGATAAAATACTTTCCACTTTCCACTTTGGCTGTAACTTATGACCGTATTAAACAGCTACTACTGAAACTAGACAGTTTTTAACTGGCAAGTCCCGATAACTCGCACTTAAATGGTTTTCAGAGAGTGGCAGACAACTGCTTCGGGTGCGAACGCGGGGCTGTGTCACTATTTTTAACGAGGTAGTGTAATTAATACTAGATCTGGCTGCTCCGCTGTCCCCCCAGAAGGCAAGCGGAGCGGGCAGCGCCGATAAGGACCCCTGGCACTGTTGGCTGTAAATTGAGCCCAGGCATGTGTCAACTCCACTTTCTGAAGTTTACTCCAAAAAAAACCAACATGGTTTTGTCCTGGTGCTGCAGGTCACCATCACCGCGAGTGACAGCGCTGCAGGTGGGGAGACGGGCAGAGGGGGCACGCGGAGATGCACGAGCGTGGGAAAAACACATCCCCGGTCTTTACTGGCCAAGAACGGACTTTATAACACGGCTTTAGGTTGCCCCAAAGAACAAATTGACTGACAGTGATTTCCAAGGGGAAGAAGCCATTTCATGAACAGATTATTGGGATAATAAGGAATTAAGGGAGGTAATATTATTGCTGTGAGTCTACACGGTTCAGAGAGACTTAACTGTGTGTTTCACAGCACCTCCAAATCTGACAGATCATTTCTGTAACAGAGTTTTACAAAATATCTGATTTAGTACCACACAAAAATCAGCCTGATACATACTACCAGGAGAATAAACTGGCAGACTGATCTCAAAATCCAGAGGAAAACAGGAATTATGATGAAGTGTGCATCTCTAGAAGAGTCTTGGCTCCCTGTTATTAATTCCTAGAGGTTTTAGAGCAGCTGAAGGTGCAATTCTGCTCCGAGGAGCACATACTACAGGGCCTCTGTCCCAGACAAGGAGTAGCTCTATAAATGAGGTGGTTATCAGCTAAACACGCTCTCCCAGTCCAGCACCAGCCAGAAGATGCTCTGGGAACACAGAGCCAGAGCAATGCCGAGTAGGAGCAGAGCAGCTATTTTTATCGCTGCGCCTGTCACGGGCACATCGTCACCGAGAAGGGGATGCCGAAAAAGTGAGGAGGATGCTGAGCCACGGCAAAGCTTGGTGTGGTCCACGTAACAGAGAGAGAGCTCAGCCGTGTTCCCACGCCAGGGAATGGGAATTCGGTAATGACAGGACCACGGCTGGAAGCTGGAGATGGATCGTTCCCATGCTAAACAGAAGTGCGACATTGCCACCGCGAGAGCGATGAACCACAACGATTTAGCAGCGGGGGGGGAAGATTCTTCCTCGCTGAAAATTTTAAAATGAAGATTGCATATGTTTTCTAAAAGCTACACTTCATAGGAATTAATTAATAGCAAGCCCCATGGCTTGTGTTATGCAGATGAGATGATTACAATGATCCCTTCCAGCCCCATAACCCATCAACGTGTGTCTGAGCACAGCCCTGCCTCTGCCCCTTCCCGCTGGGATGCAGGAGGACGAGGCATCTCTCCGGCCGTGTCCCGCGGGACCCCAGCTCCCCTCCACCGCTGCCCAAACAGGCAAAGCCCGTGGCATTGGCACCCGGTTCCCCACAGGAAAGCATCGTCCCCAGCAGGTTTTGGACACGGGGCTGGCAAAGGCACGGGGCAGGGTAGATAAGAAACATGATGCCATGTAACACCCCGCGCTGCGGCTCTGGACTTTGTGGTTTAGGGTGTAAATCGGGGCAGAGATTAAATCACAGGCAGCTTACAGGCTGGCATCGGGCTCAGGGCTGGACTCTGCTCCCTGAAAACAACGGAAAATCTCCCTTTTCTTTCAACAGCCTTGAAACCCAGCCAGCCACGTCCCCTTCTGCAGCTCCGCTCTGCTCCCAGCACCAGGGCTGCTGCCAAAAGCGGAGCCCACGGGTGCCAGGGCCCGTGGTGGGCACAGCCAGGGTCCGCACGTCCCCACAGCAGCCCTGTGCACGCTGACCTGCCTCCCCC